AGCAAGGTCCTGTCTCAAAATAGTCACCACACATCAAGAGACAGTCAGTGCCCAAGGAGCTGTTTACTTCTGACCTGGCTAAATGGAAACTCTGATAATTAAACTTACTGTAGTGTTTTCTTTCTGTAATATAATGATCTGTGGGTGATGCCTGATTATACAGGCAGAGCTGACCTAGACTTCACTATTCAGCTGGCCTTGAACTCCTCTTGCCTCGACCTACCAAGTGCAGGGCTTACAGGTGTAAGCCCTTGCCTCGCTTCGAAATGCCTTTTCTCCTGCATTCAATAAGATAAAACAAGGCTGCACCTGCCAGGCCACTTTTCTTGCCAGGGTAAGGGATAAGACAGTGTCTGGCTGGCCTGAAACATGTATGTAGCAAAACTCACTGTCATCCAGGCTGGCCTTGACTCCTGATCGTCCAGTGACAGGATGCCAGGCTTGCTCTGCCATGCACAGCTTTCCTGGGAATTATCATGTCTTTCTTAAATACTTCAAATCTAAGCCTTATTCTGTTCTTGTGACCTATGTTAACCTGATTTATGTCAGCCACTGCTGCATAATTAGTGACTCTCCCCGCCCCCCAACCCAGGGCCTTGAACTAAATCCCAACCCCAATTAGTGACTTTTAATGCCATTTATTCTTACAAGCCACATCTCAGCTGTGCTCACTCCCACTGACTGGACAGGGCCTGGGCCTGCCTAGGAAGGGCTCTAGATGTGTGGGACCAGGCTAGCCGTAGGCCGAACACATCAGCTCCTGAGTCCTGTCACTGCCCAGCAGGTCAGGTGGAGCTTCATGCATGGTTTTCAGGGTTCCAAGAGAAGAGTGGGAGGGGAGGTGGCCTGGTCCTGCAATCTGCAGACCCTTCCCCCAGTCTTTGGGTCACAGCAAGTCAAAAGCCAGGCCAGATTCAAGAGGTGCAAAAACAGCAAGTTTTCAGTCTCTAGGCACTCACCCAGCCAGAACTCCTCTCAACCCTGTAAGGCTGTGTCTGCATCGTTCCTTAGTGTGTACACCATGCCTTACTTTCTTATGGTAACCGGAAGCTGCTACTACTGCCCAAGGCAGATGTGCTGAGATGCACTTGTGATGAGCTGCCAACAAGTATTAGGTGTCCACTGGTTTCCTCCCGGCCACTAGAGCCCTCGCTTCCCATGGAGTACTTGTTCTGAGTTCGGATCTGCCCATCAACATTACTCATGCACTGCTTCAGGACGGACTCTGTGTTCTAAAGGCAACAAGCCAGTGAGAGTACTCCAGCACTCTAGCAGCCGAGGCCAGAGGACTGCTGGGTAAGGCCAGCCTGGGTTAAATGCATGGCAAGATCCTGTCTCAAGGGAACAAAAACCACTTGTAATCCTTGCACTGGGGAAGTAGAAGCAGAAGAAACCAAAGTTCCAGACTAGTACTCGTCCCTGGAAGCAGTTTGTTTCAACTTGAAGACAGTTAAATTGCCCAGGCTAGCCTTGAACTGGCCCCCCTCTTGCCTAGACCTCCCTATTAGCTGGGATTACTGCTCTGTGCTACCTCACACACAATATACATAGTCTCTTAATTTTGGTGTTTGATGTTCCTAGTTCCACCATAAGACCTTTCTTGTAGGATTTAGTATTGACGGGTTGTGGTTGGTGAAAATACAGCTTTACTTCCTTAACAGAGCAGCAACCTAAACTTCCTGGTACTTATGTCTGTGCCCAGTGACTCAGCTTTAGACACAGTTCAGCCTCGCCCTTCCCCCACTGGTTCTTCAGCTAAATAAACCCCTTTTTCTCATATAAACACCAACACTAACAGCCTTCCCAGCAGTGCTTAAAAATGTAAACATGGGGCTGGGGATTTAGCTCAGTGGTAGAGAGCTTGCTTAGCAAGCACAAGGCCCTGGGTTCCATCCTCAGCTGGGGGGAGAGGGGAATGTAAGCGTTAACATGTACTTCTAAGTGGTAGAACGTGCTAGAAGGTATTGGCATTTTTCCTTGACCTTGGGGGGGGGGGTTTTGCTTGGTTTGTTGAGACAAGGTTTCTGTGTAGGCCTGGCTGTCCTGGAACTTGCTCTGTATGGCCTCGAACTCAAGAGATCAGCCTGCCTCTGCCTTAGGAGTGCTGGGATTAAAAGCATGTGCTACCACCACCCAGTGTTTTGTTTTTTTTTAAAAAGATTTATTTATTTATTATGTACACAGTATTCTGCTTGCATGTATGCCTGCACACTAGAAAAGGGTACCAGATCTCTCCAGCCCCCCCCCCTTTAGATTTATTTATTTTATGTGTATGAGTCCTCTATCTGCAGACAGAGACTGCATGCCGGAAGAGGGCTTCAGATCCCATTTCAGATGGTTGTGAGCCACCATGTGGTTTCTGGGAATTGAACTCAGGTCCTCTGGAAAAGCAGCCAGTGCTCTTAACCTCTGAGCCATCTCTCCAGCCCTGTGGGTTTTTTTTTGTTGTTGTTGTTGTTGTTGTTGTTTTTTAAGATGTCCTTGCCACTGTACAAAACTGGAGATGGAATTACCAAATGAAGGCTGGGGCTTTTTTCTCACCCTCCACTGCGTGAACCACCCTGTTAAGTCACTGCAGGAGAATGCCGATTGTCATACTACACAACAAAACCTACAGCCTCCGCATAGTCAGCTACCCAGTACATTTATCAGCATTGGTAGTACATGTCTGTAATCCCAGTACGTGAGAGGCTGAGGCCTGAGGATCTTCAGTGTGAGGCCAGCCTGGGCTACCTAGTAAAAACACATCTCAAAAAGATACAAAACCCACATACATCCCCAAAGCTAACTTACATAGAGTGGTTTGTACCTTGTACACTAGACGGAAGCCAGGCAAGCATCCTGGCACTTAGCTACATCCCAGCACCACACTCAGAAGCATCCATCTCTCTTAGGGCCAGGCAATAGGAGCAAAGTGGGCACTTGGACTGATGTTTATGAGAACTGCACCTCCATATTACATGCAACTAAAACGACCTCCTGGGTGGTGGGATCTAACTGGGTGTGACTGAACATGCAGTGGTGCTTCCTCAAAGAAAATCATGGCTTAGTCCAGGTTAGCCATGTAACTGTGTCCTTCCAACTGTCCTTCGTCAGAAACCCCCTTGTACATCTTAGGATGTCAGATGCCCTCAGACTGTATGTCTGCCGAGTTAAGACTGAACAGCCATTACCCACACCACACCTTTCACTCACCAGCAAAA